AAAAAAAAAAAAAGGGCTGAAAGTTATGGAAATACATGAGATCCATACAGTCCCACTTTTCTCAACCACACTGATGTTATTTTAATAAAAAATACTTGTGTTAATCAAAAAACTAGATCTTACTGAGAGATGTCCACTGTTTTCTATTCAATCCACTGTTTTCTACTCGATGAATAAAACTCTTTATTGGGGTCATGTACAGTCAACTGATCAGAAGGAATAACTTACCATGAAACTTCCTCTGCAGTTCCTGTTGCATCTGCTGGGTATTTCCATTTTCAGGACGCATGAATCCTATCAGCCTCTGCTGCACTTTGGCTGTTGTACTGAAATAAATTCCAAAATGTGTGTTTTCAACAGCTTTACTGAGATAGAATTCATATACCATACAATTCAACCATTCAGAGTACATAATTTGGTTTCTCAAAATATATTCATAGGGTTGTGCAACTATCACCACAATCTAATTTTAGAACATTTTCACCCACTCTCTATAAGCAGTCAATCCCCAACTCTCCCACCCCTACCCTAAGTAACTGCTGGTCTACTTTCTGTCTCTTTAAGTTTGCCTATTCTGAATATCTCATATAAATGAACTGGGATACATTGTTAATATTCTTTTCCTCTGCAGAATAGTGAAATAATCACTGGCGAATCAATGATGATTTAAAACTGAAGCATTTTAATCTTGTGGATGCTTAAAGTTTCAATTATTTGGTTATTGTGATGTCCATTTTATTCAGAAAGGCTGAATAAATGGTTGCTTCTTTCTCTTTATCTGCCAAATTTAAAAGTAATGAATTGGTTTCTAGAATCCTTCAATGATGAGCAGTATTTTGGTGTCAGGTTACATAACATCCACCTTTTCCGTGTGCAGTTTTATGAGTTTTGACAGATGCATGGTGTCATGTAACTACCACCACAATCAAGATACAGAACAGTTCCATTACGCCCCAAAATTCTCTTGTGCTGTCTCTTCTATCCAAATCCTCTTCCCACCCGCTAAGCCTGTCCACCACTGATCTCCTTTACCTCTATAGTTTTGTTTTGTTTTTTAAGATTTTATTTTTTGACAGAGAAAGAGACAGTGAGAGAGGGAACACAAGCAGGGGGAGTGGGAGAGGGAGAAGCAGGCTTCCCACGGAGCAGGGAGCCCGATGCGGGGCTCGATCCCAGGACCCTGGGATCATGACCTGAGCTGAAGGCAGATGCTTAACGACTGAGCCACCCAGGCGCCCCTTTTGTTTAAGATTTTATTTATTTACTTGACAGAGAGAGAGAGTGAGAGAGCACAAGCAGGGGGAGTGGCAGATGGAGAGGAAGAAGCAGGCTCCCCACTGAGCAGAGAGCCTGATGGAGAGCTCGATCCCAGGACCCCGAGAACACGACCCGAGCCCAAGGCAGACACTTAACCGACTGAGCCACCCAGGCACTCCTACCCCTATAGTTTTGCCTTTTCCAATATGTCATACAAATCGATTCTGGCTTCCTTTCTATAGCATAATACATTTGAGAGTCATCCACGTTGTTGCATATATCAGCCCTCTGGAGAATGTCAGTCTTGTTTGTTTTAGCATGTAATCTATCTAGTGAAATCTGGTACTCACATTATAAGTGCTAATTGTCACGAAAAAGGGAAAATAAAAAGAGCTCTCAGAATTAAAAATATAATGGCCAGAAAAAAATGTATCAGAGAAACTGAACAGATGCTATTTTTTTTTTTTTTTTAAGATTTTATTTGACAGAGAGAGACACAGCGAGAGAGGGAACACAAGCAGGGGGAGTGGGAGGAGAAGCAGGCTTTCTGCTGAGCAGGGAGCCTGATGCGGGGCTTGATCCCAGTACCCTGGGATCATGACCTGAGTGGAAGGCAGATGCTTAACGACTGAGCCACCCAGGTGCCCCAGATGCTATTTTTTTTTTTTAAATATTTTTATTTATTTGAGAGGGAGAGAGAGCATGCGAGCAAGCAAGAGCACAAAAGCAGGGAAAAGTAGAAGCAGACTCCCTGCTGAGCAGGGGACCCAATGCAGGCCTTGATCCCAGTATGCCGGGATCATGACCTGAGCCAAAGGCAGCCGCTCAACCAGACTGAGCCACCCAGGTGCCCCTGAATGGATGCTGTTTAAAATATAATTGGGACACCTGGGTGGCACAGTTGGTTAAGTGCCAGACTCTTGGTTTCAGCTCAGGCCATGATTTCAGGGTTGTGAGATTGAGCCCAGCATCAGTCTCCGTGCTCACTGCGGAATCTGCTTAAGACTCTCCCTCTCCTTCTGCCTCCCCCAAAGTAAATAAATAAATCTTTAAAAAAAAAAAAATAATTATATATACACACACACACACACACACACACAATAATTGGGAACAACAACTCTAGGAATTCTGTAATCTACCAAACCACCACAACAACAAAAGGAAGGAAGAAAGAAAATTGTGGAAGAAAAGAGAAGAAACTGAGGCTAGATCCAGGAGAGTTAATAGGATTTTCCCAAGAAAAGGGAAATGATCAGATAGTACAATAAATAAAAAATAACAGAAGAAAATTCACCAAGGCTTAAGTCTAGTTCTAAATGCTCATTGAGAAAGTTTAGTTCTCAACACTCATTGAAAAAGGACATATTGAAGACATGGTGAAATTGCTAAATTTTCAGTAATAAAGACAAAAAGCATTAAAAAACTTCAAAGTTAACACAAGCCATTTACAGAAAAAAGAGAATCAGAAAGGCAATGTACTTTTCCTCTGCAATATTAAAGTTTAGGAAGAAAATGGAACAAAACTATAAATGAAAATCTGAGAGAAAATGGCTATGACCTTACAATCCCATACTCGTTAGGCAATAAAAAGGGGTGAAGTAGTTATTTATGCTGCAACATGGACCTTGATCATGAACCTCAAAATAACGCTAAGCAAAAAAAAGCTAGATTCTAAAGACCATAAATTATATGATTCCATTAGCATGAAATGTCAAGAATAGGCAAATCTATAGATAGGATAGATTAATAAGTGTTTGAGGCTAAGGGGTGGAAATGACTGCAAATGGACAAAAGAACTGTCTTTGGGTTGAAGAAAATGTTCCCAAAATAGACTGTGATAATGGTTGCACAATTCTATATATTTACTAAAATTTGCAGAACCAAACATTTAAAATAAGTGAATCTTGCGGCATATAAATTACATCTTAAAAAGCTATTAACAAATACTCAGTGAGACTGTTGCAGGATGAAGGGTTGGCTGAAATTAGAAAATGTTAATAAAGGAAAAAATATCTCTGGAAAATGCAGACATTTGACAAATTCCAATACTCACTTTATATGAAAATTCTTAAAACAGAAATGGATGAATACTTTCTTAGCATGATAAACTGTATCTATGTAGGCATGATCTTTATTTATTTTT